GGGCAACAACACCCAGTGTTCAGCGCAGACTCATCAGTGATCACTAGTACACTCGTGCTGTCTTGTCATCAATCAAAAGGCTTAAGGCCAACTCCACCGCGGATTCTATCCGTTTGGTTAGGGATTTGGGGTCGTGTCCGGGTCCATCCTGGGATGCGGTGGCCGTGCGCCCAGCGCGCGGCCGCGTTCATTTGCCAATCCTGTCCGCGTACACTTTAAAAACTAAAAGCAACATTTCAAAGCCAAGCCCTAGTTCAGGCCAGCGGCGGCCCCGGTTCATCACGCCGGCAACAGAGCTAGCGGCCTACACGTCCATCGCCGGCATCAGCCAGCGGCCGGCAACACAGCCAGCCTCCAAAATGAATAGTTGTCCTCGCTGGCAACACAGCTAGCGGCCGGCAACACAGCCGGCCTCCAAAATGAATGTTTTCTCGACAGCACACTACCGGCGGCCGGACTGGTGGCACCCATGCCAGCCTCAAAAAGAACGGCCACGCCGATCGGACGACCTAGTTCAGGCCTTCGGCGTCGAGCATGTCCTTCTGCCTAGCCTCGAACCAGGCCCTCGTCTTGTCGCTCATCTTTGACAAGTCCACGCTCATAATCGCAAGGGCCACCTCCTTCGCTTTGGCGGCGACATTGGTGGCCTCGATGTCGAGCTGCCTCTGCCTGGCCTTGACGTTGTCGGCCTCGATGTCGAGCTGCCTTTGCCGGGCCGCCTCCTCCATGTCGAGCTGCCTTTGCCGGCCCGCCTCCTCCATGTCGATCTTCCTCCTCTTGGCCGCCTCCTCCATCTCAAGCTTCTGTCTTTGAAGGTCTAGGTATTGCTTCATTTGCTCGTCCTTTCTTTGCCGCTTCTTCTCGTCCCTCACATCCTTTTGAGACATCATGCCATGCAAAGTCTCATGCAAGGCCATGGATGAGGCGTCACGTATGTCGTCCACCTTGGAGTTGGTCTTGCCCCTCGGCCTCTTCAACGCCTCGCCATCTTCACCTCCGGCAAACTTGGCCGTCTTCAGTCCTCTCTTCCTTCGTAGTTCACGGTATTGGTCCTTGAACTTCGGGCACATGTTGATGAGCGTCGAACAATGTGTAAGAGTGAATGGCTTGTCATTGTGTCGGGCCTTGAATGCCTCCAAAGATTGGAATGCCTACACCACATGATCAACAACAAGAGAACATGCAAATCATTACACGGCCGAAGTCTCATGGCCGTAGCAAGGAAAGGGCTAGAAAGAGGAGATCATACCATGTCCCCAACGCCGAGACTACTCACGGGCCGTGCTTCGACGCTCTCAAATGCGGCGCAATACTTGTTGCACTCTTGTTGGATGAACAACCATCTTTTTTGAATCGAGCCGATGCCACGGTTGCTTGTAATTTGGAAGGGCTCAAACATCTTCCTTTCATGAAATGTTTTGTGGACTCTAGTCCAAAAAACAATGCCCTTTTGTTGTGCGCCGGTCCTTGGATCTTGGCTAATCTCCATCCAAGCTTGGCAAATCAACTTGTCCTCATCTTGTGTATATGAACCCGTGCGGATGCTCTTCCTCTTTTTTTGTGCCTCCGCTCTTTGGGTGAGCTCGTCGATGAACAATGGTGCACCACTAATATCAACGTCATTGCTTTCTTCTTCTTCATCATCACCTTCGACATAGATGTCATCGTCTTCATGCCACGAGTCACCATGGTCGTAGTCAGCACGGTCGTGCCCACCTTCATCGTGGACGTACTCGGCGCGGCCATCCTGACTTTGGGTCTCATCGGGGTCGTAGGCACGGCCATGCCCACCGTCGAAGATCACGTCTTCCATGTAGCGGTTGTAGAAGGGGTCGTCGACCGCTGGCGTTGGGGTTGGCATTTCGTCAAACAAGACGCGGGGGGCCGGCATGGTGCCCGTGAACGGTGCCCGTGCCTGCTTTCTTCGCATCTGGACGGACGGCCGCCCGCCGCTGCTGGACCCAGGCATGACGTTGAGGTCGATGACGCCCGCGGGGCGCGGTGTGGACGGCGCGAACATGTCCGACGACCCCGAGAAACGGGTTTGGCCGTCGTGCCTTGGCAGAGCGAAGCAGGGCGACATGGGCGCGGTGCGCGACGTCGGCGACTGGCAGTGTGTAGGCCGGGCGACCGACGAGCCTGTGCTCGCCGGGCCGACGGCCGCTGCAGGGAACCCGGCAGGACGGCCCATGCCAAGCATGAGGATGGCGTGCGCTTTGTTGACGAGGTCCTCCTTCTCGTCGGCAGCGGCCTTGCGCCGTGCGGCCTCCAGCTCCTCGCGCTGGGCGGCGAACTTGGCCGCGGCGACATTGACCTTGACGACCGCTCTCCGTTCCCTCCTCTTCGCCGATTCCGCGTCCAACTTGGTGATCTCCTCCGGCGTGCACTCCGACCGCGGCTTCCTTGGCGCCTTCTTCTTCACCTTTGCGGGCGGGTCGACAGCCAGGCCGTCGGAACTCGGCGGGGCGTCGGCCATGAAGGGGAGAGAGAGGGGGCGGCGGGAGGGACGTGGGAGGATTTGGGGCAAATGGCGCCAAATGGGTGTGGGGGGGGGATGGTTTCTCTCACCGGCAGGCGGGCCAGGGAAGGACAAGCGCACGCGTCCCGCCCGTCCGCGCGTTGTCCGTTTTACCCCAAACCGAGCACAAGTTTGGACCGGGGATGGGTCGAAAACAGACCGAATCAGGACATTTGTCCGTTTGAGGCCGCGCGCTGGGCCGCCTTTTTTGTTCCTTTTACTCCAAACGAATAGGGACGGACAGGATAGGATCGCGCGATGGAGTTGGCCTAACAAGGCAAGGTGACGTAACTTTCCCATCCACCGGTGTGCGTCGAGTCGAGTTCACGTCACATTCACACCCCCCGTTTGGCATGGCATGCAGAGACCAGTTGAGCGAGCGAGTTGGGGCCTCGGGCTTGCCTCCCGGTCGTGCCAAAAGTTGCCGTGGACGTGTGGTGGCGCACCCGCGTGCGAGCTGGTCCGGACCGGAGGCCGGAGCTACTACCGCGCACAGCGGCCTCCGACCAAAGTCACGCGCCGGTGAACTCGTGCGTACGTACGTGCCAGAGCGCCCCACATGCTCCTGCCACCTGGTTGCAAGTTTGCAGCTGCACCGTCTGTTGAAACATGATAGGCGAATGCATGCAGGTAGCAGAAAATGGGAGGAGAGCGACAGACCAAAGAAGACGAGGCCACGCCACATCGGTCGGGGCCCAAACCCTCGTCCTTTTCGTTTTTAAGCAAGAATGCACATGCAAGTGCCCACTTGGCGGCCCATCATCATCGTCGAGATAAATTCACCGGAGGTCGCTGGACTCAGCTCCTAAGTTTCATTTCACTTCGGCCACTGGACTAAGGAATACCCGAAATATTTTTCAAAAAAAGGGGTCATGGAAGTCATGTCACTGCCTGGCAAAATTGACAAATTTAACCTAAGAGCGAAAGTATTTCACAAACTAAATTGTTTTTAAAAAATTTTCACACCGCTGGCCCTTTTGCTCAACGCCCTACAACAAGGCGCTGCACTCTGCTGTGCAACTCCTTATAGCTAGGCGCTGCACAGGTGTGGCACCTGAGTGTTAGGCGCTGCACAGTAGAGTGCAGCGCCTTGCTGTCAGGCGCTGAACATTAGGGGTCAGCTGGGTGAAATACTTTAAAAACAGTTTAGTTTGTGAAATAGTTTTGCCCTTAGGGGTGAGTGTATGCGTGTTTATATGAGCGCTTGCATCTGTACTGTGTTCAAAAAAGTACTCCCTCCGTTCCTAAATATAAGTCTTTGTAGAGATTCCACTATGGTCTACAGACAAAGCAAAATGAATGAATCTACACTCTAAAATGCATCTACATACATCCGTATGTGGTTTATAGTGAAATCTCTACAAAGACTTACATTTAGGAACGGAGGGAGTACATGATGCTGTGAAAAATTCCCATCCCTTTAAATCGCTCGCAAATCGCCGCCCTTTTCCTAGCCTTAGAACTGTCGCCCGAGGGAGTTGTAACCTACTGGGGCTCAAAGCGGGCACAGACACACGTCGCCGTCAGTGGTCACTGAAGTCATCGTAGCCCGTTAGGAGGAGGCACAAGAGTCTGGGCGGTGGCACCAAGTTTCTTCACATCACCAGTTCCTAAAACCACAAAATCGGCAAGCTCGGGTACAAGGAACATGAGGCAATCCCGCGGGATTTTTTGTCAAAAAAGACCACATGCCGAACAAAATTGCTAGAAAAGACCCCTTCTAAGACAAATTGGCAAAAAGGACCCCCTCAACCGTGGCGGCAGGCGCGCCAAGCGACACGTGACACATGCCGCCACGGGATGAGGCGGCAGCGCCTGCCGCCACGGCGCCAGGCAGCAGGCTACACATAACAGGAATCAACGAGCCGCGACGACACGGGCTGGCGTGGTGGGCCCTGCCGCCCCACTGGTTGGCGGCAGCACTGTACATGGTGGGCCGGGCCGCCTCGCGCCCAGGCGGCAGGCTGTGCACTACTGCGCGCCAGCCGGCCTCGCGTATGGCACGGCAAGGATAGT